AACGGTAACGATGATCTTAAAAGTTAGATCTACGCGATGATGGGGGTCACTTGATCTGGCACGTGGGTCCTCGGAGCGCGACCTTTTCAATGTGGCGACCTACCTCCTAGCTTCTACAACTTCAACTCCACACACCATGAGCGCAATGGATACTGACGAGGTCTCGGTCGTACTTCCTTCCTCTACAACCTCGGGTTTGACGCTATCTCTGTACGTATTCTACCTCCCGGGGCTCCTGGCATAAACGAATCATCGATCAGACACCCGCTGCCGATCCTCAACATTTCAGAGCATCTGACAAGGCTTAAGCTCCAGAAGAACACCCCTTCACCTTTTGGTACGTCTTCAACAGAATAACTGGCGTTTTGTTGAAGACTCGATCAGTCCTCGGGGCGCTCCTTGGGACCCAGAATGGCCGCGAGGTCGAGATCGTAAACACCTTTGAACTGGCTATGGAAGAGAATGCAGAAGATGCTGTCGATCATGGATTCCTGGTATCTCGGCGCGACCAATGTGAGTTTTCAGCTTCAACGAGTCGCGATTTTCAAGTGGCTAAGTCGCTCGGTCAAAAGATAAACAGGTCTTTCCCTCCTTGGAGTTCATTGGCTGGTACACCGTCGCGCCACAACCCACAAGTCGCCATATCGCCTTTCACGAACAAGTGTGCCTCTTTCGATCCAGATCTATCTTGTTTTTCTAATTAAGTTTGAACAGTTCACGGGCTACTGCTCTACGCCCCTCCTACTTGTTCTACAGCCCAACATCAATCTCGTTTCAGCCTCGGTGAATGCGCAGACACTGCCGTTCAAAGCCTATGAACCTTCTGTCGAAATCCGGGATCGCAAGTCGCGCTCAGTCTTCATCGAAGTACCCTACAATGTGGAGACTGGCGAGGCAGAGCGGATTGCTGTGGATTGGACAGCTCGTGGCGGTGGGAGTGGAACCAGCTGTATGTCCCCCGTTCTGTTCTATTTTCTTCTTTTGAGCACACCTATTCATAATCCATATGTCGTCATATTGGCACAGTGGAATCGCATCTGCAAACACAACGCTCCGCCGTCAAAATGTTGCATGAGCGGATAGTCGTCCTGGTGAGATATGTCGCGGATGTCATCGCCGGTGAGTTTCAGCCACGTACCCCCTTGAGAGAAACCCAGATTTACTTGCTTCTTATGGATGTAGACCAAGCGAAGAAGGATTACGCTACACTGCGTTCTCTTTCAGCGCTCATCGCGTCGTTGCCAGCCACAGAGAGCAAGGCATTTCGCGATGAATTTGATACAGTGAGATGTGGAGAAATCTTCCCCACATATTTAACGCTTATGCGACTCCCGTTTGATAGGAGTACGCGGATGTTCAGCTCACAGGTGTCCTATCGGCACTCACGAAATCTGCAAACATTTTGAACGACGTATGGCCTTTGTTACCGTCGGATTCTGCATGCACCTCTGACCACCCAACATTACAGCTCGTCGATAAGCACATTGTGCTGACAACAGGAAAGGACGAGAGAAGCGGTGGCCGAAGGCGGGGGATGGGCAGGCAGGGGGGACCTGGTGATTGGGATCGTCATCACTAGGCCTTTTCCATAAGCCGCTCTATCCGTTATCACGCATTACGCTCTTTGTATCATCACTTCTTCGCAATCCTCTTGAACTAATACATGAACTCGCAGATCGTTAACGGTCATGCCAGAGTTCAGCAGGCTCAGCCATTTAGACGCGTCATGGTTAATTGTGCCCAAGTCTCTCGTCCTAGGGGCAGCTGTCCGCTTCTTCCAAAATTTGAGTGACATTCGCGTCCGACAAATTAGCGACATGTACAATCTTGACAGCGGGCCTCTTCCCCCGAAAGCCACCTTAACACGCATGAACCAGCCATAGCAGCGAAATAGAGTGTGCCAAAAATGCGATGTTCTTAAGTGACACAGGCTCAGGGCAGACGTCGGGATAGAAAAAGACATGATAGCAGTCCAAAAGGCAAGCCCAGTCACATGATGTAAGCGAATGCACGCGTAACGACCTGCCCTAAACCTCATTATTGTTCCTGGTTGATCTTTTCCTCTTTCCCCACTCTCTCAGCACGATGTCCGGATTCGACGCGAATAACGTGTACACTGTTTCTATCCACGACCCCCCATCAGCGACCTCACCAGAATCTCCCTCAGAAACCGAGAAACTTCTCTTTGAATTCCTCCTACAGTATCGGGTTGGAGGTGCCTTCATATATCGGTGAGTATTCTAGTCAACTATGGCGTGTCTGGTGCTCATTCCATACCAGTGACAAACTGCGAGGAAATATGCTTTTGAAGCAGCACATTCTCGAAGTCGATCTACGACATGTCAGCCTGTTCAACGACGAGCTCGCCCATGCGATCCAGGACAGGCCAGCGGAGGTTCTGCCACTGGTGCGTCATGCAAGTCCTCGTACATCGGATCCGTCCTCACTCTCCTTCTCCTGAAGTTTGAAACTGCTGCGACCAAGGCTGCCCGCGCCATTCTCTTTCCTCTAGCTGGAGGTTCAGAGGACCGTACGGACGCAGCAGCGGAGGCAATTCCCAAAGTCCAGGTCACGCTGCGATCCGGCCTCAACATGCTTCAATTCCGCGACCTCACCGCTGATACCATGAACAAACTCGTGCGCATACCAGGAATCGTAATCTCCGCATCTGTCCTCTCTTCGCGGGCCACCAAGCTGCATCTACAATGCCGTGCATGTCGTTCAACGAAAATCATATACCCCGCGGGTGGCATGGGAGGCGTTGGTGGTGGCTCAGATAGAGGTCTTCCCCGGTTCTGTGATGCACCAGAACCAGACGGCCAGAAGAAAGACTGCCCCATCGATCCCTACCTCATCATACACTCCAAATCAGCGTTTGCCGACCAACAGACATTAAAGCTGCAAGAGGCGCCTGACATGGTTCCGGTTGGAGAACTTCCACGGCATATGTTGCTTTCTGCAGATCGATATTTAACCGGCAAGGTTGTCCCAGGTTCGCGAATAGTGGCCACTGGCATTTACTCGACGTTCCAATCAGCGAAAAATGTGCGTTACGAGGGCGAATCTATCCACACGTGCTAATTCTACGTGCTTTGTAGAAAAGCGCTGGCCCTGCCGCTCTCCGCCAACCGTATCTGCGTGTCATTCACCTGGAAATGTCCTCCCCGTCAGCGGCAGGCGGTGGTTCAAATCCTTTCGGTGTACAATTTACTCCCGAAGAGGAGGAGGAGTTCGGAGAATTGGCGAGAAGCGAGGGATTCTATGAACTCTTTGCGAAGAGTGTTGCTCCCAGTATCTACGGAAGTCTTGGTGAGTTACAAAATACCTTGGACGAACGCGCGAGCGCTGATATAGTTTGGAAGATATCAAGAAGGCGATTACGTGTCTATTATTTGGTGGTTCCAAAAAGGTCTTGCCTGACGGAATGAGATTGCGCGGGGACATCAATGTACTCTTACTTGGTGACCCAGGTACTGCAAAGAGTCAGCTGCTGAAGTTTGTAGAGAAGGTGAGAACGTTGGATCCCGCGAATTGTGTTCTGACGATTGGTGAAGGTTGCCCCGATTGCGGTCTACACGTCAGGCAAGGGCTCTAGTGCAGCCGGTCTGACAGCATCTGTTCAACGCGACGCCGTTTCGGTAGAGCCTTTTCTTCAATCCTCGGTAACATAAAAATCTCTTGACATACTTCCGACAGCGTGAATTCTATCTTGAAGGTGGAGCTATGGTTCTCGCTGACACCGGGGTCGTCTGTATCGATGAGTTTGACAAGATGCGGGATGAGGACAGGGTCGCCATCCACGAAGCGATGGAGCAACAGACGATCTCGATTGCGAAGGCTGGCATTACGACTGTCCTAAACTCTCGTACCAGTGTTCTCGCCGCTGCAAATCCTGTGTTTGGGCGGTATGACGAGGGCAGGAGTCCTGGAGAGAACATCGACTTCCAAACAACCATTTTGTCTCGGTTTGACATGATTTTCATTGTCAAGGACGAACATAACGAGACTCGGGACAAGGTACGTACTCCTCGCTCCACTAATGTGGATCCGATGAAACCAAGTCTCTCGTAGATGATCGCACAACACGTCATGAACATCCACATGAACCGACCTAACCAGAACGTGGAGGACAATGGTGACAACGTTGGCGAACTCGGGCTCGAAAAGATGAAGCGGTACATTTCATATTCCAAGAGGTACGTCTTGATAATTATCGACATTTCGGAGTAACTAGGCTTCTGACGGCACCGCTAGCAAATGTGCACCGCGTCTCTCAGCGGACGCACAGGAGATGTTGAGTAGTCACTTTGTGAGCTTGCGCAAGCAGGTGCAGCAGGTGGAACGGGACAACGACGAGAGGAGCTCCATCCCAATCACCGTCCGGTAAGCTCTAGGCATCCCACTATTTTGAAGCCATAATCAATTACAAAATCACGCAGGCAACTCGAAGCTATCATCCGCATCTCGGAGTCGCTGGCGAAGCTGACGCTTTCCCCTGTGGTGAAGAACCACCATGTCGAGGAAGCGATCCGACTGTTCAAGTTCTCGACAATGGACGCCGTGTCCGCGGGCTCGGCGGACGGGCTGTCCCGCGGGGAGCTGAATGAGGAGATGACACGGATCGAGCGCGAACTCCGGCGCCGCCTGCCGGTGGGCTGGAGCACCAGCTACCAGAGTCTGGTTAGGGAGTTCGTGACGCAGCAGGGTTTCTCCAGCCATGCCCTGGAGAGGACGCTGTTTATTATGGAAAAGCGAGAGATCATACGATTGTCGGGACAGGTTCGTTTTCTCTTCTCCACCGTGGGCCAGCGCTAATGTAACTCTTGGCAGAAAAAAGTTGTTCATCGGGTTGGCGTTTGATCTCAATTTTCGCATTCCCTTCTTATTTACTGTAGAACTTCCTTTCGATGTATGGTTGTAAGATGTAATACTAATGGTACTTCTTTATTCCTGCAGCTCACATCTGCTCACTTGGCATATCTATCGTCAATGCCACTATCGCCCGCCTAGCTCAATCGGCCAGAGCGTCAGACTTTTACGGAAGGTCGGGTGACTCATCCTTGGGATCTGAAGGCTGCGAGTTCGACCCTCGCGGTGGGCTAGTCCTCCTCCTTTTTGAGGAGGTGTCGTTGCATAACGAACGACATTGCAAGTCGAAAAGTGGCGCATAATTGAATCAAATCTTCAGAATCTTGACAAGCAACCGCACAATGACAAAATCAAAGCAATAGCCCACCGCGAGGGTCGAACTCGCAGCCTTCAGATCACCAGCAGATGATCCCCCCCCGCCTTAAGAGTCTGACGCTCTATCCGATTGAGCTAGGCGGGCCGTAGGTGAAGTTTCTGTCGGGCAAAATTCAGCGGTAACGCGGCCGTGAATGTGTGGCGGGCACGGCAACTCGGCCAGTTCGATTTTAAACTCGGTGGTGATTGTGTGGCGGGCTCAGCCAATCGGGCTGGTTCGTCCTTGGTTAACGGAGCTGTCAAGCGTTGCATCAAAGGTAAACGGAGGCCCAACGTCAGTGACGGCCAAGGCTCAAGTGTCACGAGTTGCTATTTGGCCAGACTGAGAAGCTCTTGGGACCTCTGTGCAATGAAATTGACCCACGCGTATGCACCAAGGGAGGTTTGGGACCCACAGCGTTGCACGTTGGTGACGAGGGACCTAATTGAAATGAACGGGGAGCACTGAGCCGGAGAGATATGGCCTTGTTAGGAGGCAGTGCCGGTTGTCCACGCGGCTCACTAATATCACTTACGCAGTGTGCAGCTTACGTAAAATGCGCAGCACTCGTATATGGGGGTCTGAGATTGGCGTATTTGCCTTTTGCTTTCCACCACCATCTCTGCAGTGACTCCTCCCATTAAAGTCCCGTCTCCGCAGTCCCCAGCAGCAATGTTTGAATCACAGAACGCGCAGTTCTCCCCTGCTATCTTCGACGTCTACAGCGATTCTAAGCAGCAGTTCTACGGCCTCGACTTCTCGTCGTTCCACTCGCCTGCTGACCTCGCGGCTCCGTCAATCGATTGTTTCGAGAACGAGCTTGATCAGCTCGATCTCTTAGAGCTCGAAGTCACGCAAGTGAACAGTGCTTTTTCACAGATCCAGCCCACTTGTGGCCCTCCATCGTCTATAACCCTTTCCTCTGAGAGCTCGGCTCAGGACACCTTGTCCTTTTATTCAGAGCCCTACCAGTCTCCCCAGACCAACTACTCCTTCTCGCTCGACGACATGGATTTCCAGCGCATCCGCGTTGATGACTTTTCCAGCTCGCAGTCCCCACTCTCCGTCCTGGACGGGTCCGACCCTACCTCCTTTGGGCAGCTGCCACCCACCCCTCCACGCAGTCCCCCTGCAAAGGCTTTCGAGAGGGCGGCCTATATCCCCAGGTCCAGCTTCTCCGACTACGGCTCCCACAAACGTCACCACTCGCACTCCATCTCGGCCGACTTTTACAGCCAGCTCGGCTTCACTCCGGGCATCACGCAGTCCACCATCTCGCCCTCCCACATATCCAACCAGTCGAACCTGGTGCCCTCTACCCCGCGCATCACCGCAGACGAGCTCGGCAGCAAGGGTGACTCCCGCAAGAAATACAAGTGCCAACAGTGCCCCCGAGGTATGTTATGTGCCATACCTCACTGTGTCACACTGATTTGTTTTTAATAGCCTTCGCTCGTGCCTACAACCTGAAGACGCACATGGCCACCCACGATCCCAACAGGCTTAAGCCCCATGTCTGCCCACACGGTTCATGTGGTCGTTCCTTCAGTCGCAAGCACGACCTGGGCCGCCACCTCGTCAGCATCCACCGCGATGACTCGGACTCCACGTCCCTGCTCTCTGGCACGTCCAAGGTCTCCATCGGCGTCGAAAAGGGCCCGCGTGGATGGTGTGAAGCTTGCGGCAAAGGATTCGTTGGCAAAGCCAATGCTTGCGGTTGCAACGACGTCAAATAGATCAACCGCCCAAACAGCAGGTTCTCATCACATCCCTTGTGTACGAAAGCCTTCACACCGCTCCACACATTCCACTGATGACGTGTCCTCCAGGCTCTGCGCAGCTCTCGCTCGGCTCCTCAGCAAACTCCGTCTGTTATGTGCCCTATGCATTCCTGACCGTCAAATTGGAAATCACTGTCGTGCCGAGCCCCTTTTTTCGATGTGTCACGTTCCGTACCGCCCTGTTCTATATATACTCGGCCCAGCGACGGACGTGATCTCGATTTGATCACCTTTCATTAACGTTTTTCACCACCTCGTCCCATCCTATCTATTCGTCTACTCACCCATACTCACCCATATCCCATCATTCACTTCCTCTGGACTCTTTCCTTTGCCCCCCTACCAAGGTATTGCGTGGAATCGTTACTCATTGCTCTCAGTTATTCCGTTTAACGGTTACCCAATTTTCTGTATATATTTTCAACCCATCATCAATGCAATTCTTGTTGATATCACAACCAACGTTCGACCTCCAGGAATGCCTATTGGGCGGCTTTGACAGCATTGCCACTGAAATGCGGGTAGAAAGAGCGCATTGCCAGCGGTACCGACAAGCCTGACCTGTTTGTCGGGCATGACCCAGAATTTTGATCAAATAGATCACGTGGAGCGTATTGCGTCGCGTCGCGGTATATATTAGCTTGTTGATTGAGATGGAATGTGTACCTCAATAATTGTGAGAAAGATGGAAGCACCCACAGGGACCCCATACATGACCGAATGGCCTAATTTTGCTGTTTCCCCGTCTCTCAATCACTCTCCCATGACAACATTGCAAAGACAAACCTGATTTTATAGTGGTCAATGTCGAATATGTGGTAAGCTGAATGTTTACTTGATGCGAATTGCACTCACATACAGTCAAACCTGCCATAACCCATGCCACTCGGTGGAAGCCAAATACTATGGGTTATGACAGGTTTGACTCTATCCCATGGCAGCCATACCTTCTCAAGCGGCTCTTCAAGACGACTGCCGAGCCCGATCACGATTTTCGCGCGTATTGTACCATAGAAACGGCCGGTCAATCTTGTTCAGCTTTGGCGCGAGCTCAAGCCTCTTGACTGCGACACGGCCGAAACAGCAACACCGGCAGCTCCTCCTCAAGGCACGCATGCTCTCATCGAGCTGGCAATGCAGATTAACAGTGCGACACCAAACTCGGCCGCGACTGAACAGATTTTCAGCCAGTTTGGCGTCAAACACAGTAAACTCTGCAATCGTATCCATCCCGAGAAGGTCCTGAAGGAGGTCCTCGTCAAGACAAACACCCCCGCCAAGCTTGGTCCCCCTCCACGACGCAAGCGTGCATTTGGCAACGATGACGGCGAGGAGATGATCGAAGTTCTTGTGCCCACCGACAACCCCGCCGAATCTGCACGTGATCCACTCGATTTCACTGCGATCGCGAACGAAATGGTCGCCGATGCGTCCACTGATGCGCCGTCGGGCCCGATCCCAGCAGGACAGCCAAGATCTGCCCCATCCACGAGCTCGACAAACTACACCATCTTACCCTCAAGGTCCTTTTTCACTATCCTCCAGCACCAGACTCGATCTCTGCCTCGCTTCTGGCTCTCACGGAGTGCTGGAGAGCAGGCAAGCAGGGTTTCGAGAACGAGCTCGAGTACCACAACTTTATGAACCATGACGACTCCGAGGTTTCTACCTAGAGTATATTTTCTTAATTTTCATCTTAATCTTCTTATAATACCTAGACTTATCTTACATATCAAACCATTGTATATATAGCTTACTGTTCATGTTCACAATACAGCCTATTCTTGTCGTCGAGAGCTCTGATCAAAAGCAGTCTGTGGCCGTCGTCGCCTTGCCAGGGGGTCAAAAGTCATGTCAGGCCGTGAAAAGGTCACGACCCTCCGTCAGACAAGCACATCGCCAGGGCATGGCGGTCGCACCCAGATTACCAGCAGTTTGGAGTGATATGAAGGGTTTGACGGAGTAGACTGGACATTCTGTTCCGATTGAACGAGGCATTCAGGAGACAAGGAGCGGTCTATGGCCCGCGCTACGCAAGAGCACGAAGAAACTAGCGAAGACGGCATATATCTAGAATAAACAGACTATAAGGCACTTAATGGACGGACGAGGAGCATTCATATGGTACACGAGTCAGGTGCCCGTACGGGGTGGCCCAAAAAATATGAGAACATCCGCGGCAGTCACTTTGTAGACGCCTGTCCTAGTAGCTTTGGAAATACCACACAGAGGCGTGGGGTAAGGAGGGAACAGTGGCATCCAGTGGTATGCCAGACGGAGACCCGTCATGATCAGCTCCAGTCTACAGGCCAAGCGAGTGTTGAATCATTATCTCCTAGACCAGCCATAAACAGCACGCAGCACGTTAAAAATCATTGTCCGATATCCACAGGAGGATCCAGTATGAAGCCCTGAAGATCGCCGCAGGTGTTCGCCCTAGGTCCGAGGATGTAATAGTCTTGCAAGAGCGTACGACGAGTTGAAATTTGACGCTCTGCCGACACCGACATGCATGATGAGCTGCAGATGTGCAGTTGCACCAGCATCTTTTGCTTAACTCAATGGAGGCCTTTAGTAGGAGAAGATTGTGCTCTGATTGTCCAAAAACGTTAACTGGCGGGCCGGTTCGGATTTCGTGAACCGTGCCTTCCTCTTTCTTTTTCTCCTATGGACATAAACGATCTACACCCTCCGGACGACTACAGCCATCGTTTCTTTATCTGGCACGAGTGGATCCAGGTCAGTACTCAGTATAATTCACGCGTCTAACTCGCTGACCTTGGAGAACAGGCGAATGGACCACTTACGGCCGAGAATGTCTTTGACTACTTCGCAACCTCTATGTTCTACGACAAGCAGAGCAATAATCAGGTGCTACGCATGCAGACCATACACTCGGGCCTCCCTATTGAGAATGAGGCAGAAGAACTCAAGTGTGTGCGAGATGCTGGTCTTACAAGCCTGACTTACATATAGCCCGATTATACTAGGCGCTTTACCGGTGTCGAATTCGCAGTCGTGCATTCACAACCCCCAACGATGTTCATCGTTCAGAAAAGAGAAAGATTATCGCCCGACGAAGGTTCGTGTGCCCAACGGTCGCGTCGTTTACACCATCCAATGGCGGCACCCTCCCAGTCCGGCCGATGGCAGCGTATTTCATCATGAACAATCGAATATACCAATCCCCGGACGTGTATACTATCCTCTCCAATCGTCTGGTAAGCAGTCACGCCATTGCGCCAGGCTAGATCTTAACATGACGTCCACCTAGCTCACATCTCTTCACTCCCTGCAAACCTCTCTCGACATTCTGCGCTCCCA